TAATTAAAAAGAGAAGGGAGTATCATTTTTTTTTTAATTGTTATCTTGAATCCTAAGCTGAATGTAGATTTATATAAGCAGAGGTCTTGCCCATTCAATTCATTCCTTCTAAATCAGTTTGTTTGTCTGCAGCAATTTACTAAGGAAGCATGGAAGCTAATCAGATTCAACCGGTTTTATCTGTAAGTATGTTAGTTTTGTTTTGACATATCTCTGTATACATGAATGTTCTTAAGTGCATAAAAATGGCTTTAACTTTTAAATTAATGTGGTTACCAAAAATGATATATGATCACCTGCTCCTTCTCTTGTTAAATCTTTTGTTATTTTCTTTTTGGGGCAAACGAAAAATGTTTTATGCATGGTTAAGCGTTTTATACAGATTAACACAGGAGTAGCTGCATCAATGATTGTGCCTGAGGTACTTAAAGAAGATAATTATGTGAGGTGGCGCATTTTCATGCAACATTATTTAGTGGCTCAAGATCTCTGGGATGTGGTTCTATCAAACGAAATGCTTCATGGAGAAGACTCAAGGGAGTGGATTAAAAGGAATGCCTTGGCTTTGCATACAATTAAGATTTCATGTGGAGCAAAAGAGTTTGATTTGATTAAGGAGATGAATTCACCAAAAGATGCTTGGAATGCATTGGCTGACTTGCATAAACAACCAAATGAAGATGCGAGTAGTGGAAGTGAAGCCGATACAGGTTTAATTTCCATCTTAATCTGTCTAAAACATTTTTTTAATGTTTTTCATATCTTAATGCCCCAGAAATTATTACTTTTAACTTTCCAACTTAAGATAAAAATAACTATTGATTTGGCCTCCCAAACAGAAACGAAGCTTAATCAATATTGAGGGGGGTCATTTTTTTTTTTTTTCTATTACACGTAAATATAATATAAATTATAACATTATAACATATATAACATATAAGAGGTCACTCAACATCAAATATTACACTATAAAATTAAAGTATTTCATTTGCTCACATTATACGAATTTATATCTTAAGTCACTTTTCACAAATATTATTATAAATTCTTTAAAATTACCAATCATCTTTACATTTTAGGTTTGATTCTTTTTATTGAACTAAAGTGTTGCATAGAAAAATCGATATAAATGTCAAAAAAAGAAACATAAGAAAGAAATTAAAGAATCATTAGAAGTTCAAGAGCATAAATTAATCACTTAAGACTGTCATTAGCATAAGCAAATATCAAATAAAAACAATTAGAAATCCTAGTTTGTATGTGATAAAATAGAGATTTATTCATGTACCAACAAAGTTGAATATTATCATAAGATATTAGGGCATGAGATTCATTTTGAAATTGTGATTTTACAACAAAAACTCACAATCAAGTGAGATGGAAAACCAGCTTATAAGTTATGTAAATATTTTTAAAAAGTAGGAAATTATAATTGTTTAATAGTTCTTAAAAAACAAGAATGCATAAAAAGAGAGCTAACAAAGAAAATTTACCCAACAACAAAAAATGTGGTTTCTATTAATTATAAAAAGAGAAATGAAATGAGCAAAGGAGTAGAGTTTGGTTCTAGAAATTTTAGGGCTAGCTAAGGATTTTGAAATTTGTGTTTACTATTTTCTTTTTAGAAATGATTGTTTTTTGTGATTAGTTTTAAGAATAATCGCAAAGGTAAAACGAAAGAACTTTATAAACCTATTTCTTTTTGTTCAAATGAGTTCTTTGGGACTAGACTTTGAGTTCTTGACTTATGTAACAACTTTATAAAATTTCAGGTCTAATATTTATTTATTTACTCAATTTAAATATTTAAATTTTTATATATTAATTTATTTACTAAATTTTTCATAAAAATACTTATATGTTAATTTCTTTTTCAAAAGGTTAGGGGGGCCATGCCCCCTAGCCCTTAAGAAGCTCTGTCATTGCTCCCAAATTAACCAATTTTTTTAAAAATACAAAATTAACCAAAATTTTGGTTCAAGTAATAAAAGGTGTGTGCTTTTTACCAAATTAACCCTTTTATTCCATCTCTAAATTGAAGAAGTTAAGGAAACTCGGACAAGGATATTGGACAACAATGAAAGAACTACGATTGTGAGCTCACTCCATGATGGGAATTGGAATGCCTTAAAAAACTTGGACAGAATAACTGAAATACTTTTTCCTGGCGGTTTCACTGTTCTCCATATTGCAACTATTCTTGGTCACTTGAAGATTGTCAATGAATTGGTGAAGATAACGGGAGAAGACTACTTGGAAATACAAGACGACAATGGTGATACAGCTCTTTCCCTTGCTGCTTTTAATGGAGAAGTGGAGATTGCAGAATGCTTGATTCAGAAGCATGATAAATTGCTTACAATTCAAAACAAGGAAGGATACATACCACTTGTGGTGGCATGTATCAACAAGCAGAAGGATATGACATCCTATCTCTACTCCAAAACTGGTTTTCAATTCTTTTTACTTCCAGGAAACAGCAATCATGGTGCCCTGTTCCTCAAATATTGTGCACTCAATTTTATGCTTGGTAAGAGTTGGTGGCTAGTCTTTCTTATTCTAAGCTCCAATTCCTTGTTAATTCTTACCATATACATTTTGGATTGAATATTGTATAGTAATGGATTTGATATGTTGTTACGTACATGTGGTGACGAAAGATGTTGGTTTGGATCTATACCTTCGTTGTCCGTGCTTGGCAGCTAGGCAAGATTCCATTACTATTTTAGAATTGTCTGCTCAACCTTCTCTATTCCTTAGCGGAACGCCACTTTCGGTTGGGGAGCGCAAAGAGTATCGAAGTATATACTACTTTCCTTAATTTTCACCTTAGTTTTCGTTCTCCATATTTATGCAAGCTCTGCGGAAGATTGGAAGATAAAGATATAAATATAAAAACAGAGCACAAATTAGCGTTACTTTTTATCTGCTTTTTGGTCCTTTTTTACCTAAAAAATTTATTTACATAGAATTAATTTCATTTGTTGTGTTATTGAAGAACAAGCTGTTGTAAAGTTGCCGTCTCCCTCTGACAACGCAGATACTAGTGAACTTGAAAGATTCGAAAGACAAGGTATGTGTTATTTTGTTACCTATATATATATTGATTCAAATGGCAGTCAGTTTGCTCTTAATTTGTTTACGAAATGGGCCGGAGTAGCTATTCCATAAATATATATTAAGCCAAGCCAAGCAAACATGAATGGTGTTTGTCTGTTTGGTATTGCAGTAGCACGGGTTGAAATGGATAGAATATTTAGACCCGTTGTCTGGCTGCTGCCTAGAAGGTATAGAAGATTGGTATCCGCTGTCTGGCTACAGCCTACAATGGGTATATAACGTCTTCAACTAAACCTTTCTTTATGATTCTTTAAAGCAATTTCTCCTTATTCTTTGTCTTGGCTTGCTGTAGATGAACGGAGGCGCATATATAACCTCAAATTAACCCATACGTATGCCAATTTGGTTCTGTGTCACTTGTGCAAGGAAATATCAACCTACAGGGATGCCACACAACTTGTTGAAAGTGGAGCAATCTCAGCAATCTTCCAAGCAATCAAGGATGGCACAAGCGAGATTGTGATTGAGATTCTTAAAGCAAACGCAGATTTATTTTGGTGCAATGAAAAGCTTTCAATAGCTATACTCATCTCTGCAATCAAATGTCATCGAGGAGATATTTTAGAGTTTGTTTACGGGCTTGATGTAGGGAAGAAAGCATTTCTCTCTTTCAGAGATAAAGATGAAAACAACGTGTTGCATCTAGCAGCCAAGTTACAA